GGGGGGGGGGGGGGGGGGGTCACGGGCACCCCAGGACCACCCCCTAGCTACTCCCCTGTTTATTGTCAGTTTTAAAAAATTCTCCTAACTACTGTATTGAAATTTCTTTTTATTGTTGTTTGAAGATTTTATTTTATTAAGTGATCACTTTATCTCTTTTTCAATCTACTGGTCAATTTTGTAATTTTCGTGTTGTTTGCTTGAAGTCGAATGAGGCCACATTGGGTAATTTTAAGCGTATTACTATTCCGGCCCTCGTTTTATTGGTCAGCTCGATATTGAAAACACAACGAAACGTTTTCTTTTTCTGACCTCATAAGTATTTACGCAGTGAGGATCAGCAAATAGAGAAACCCATCATGGCAGATTCACAGGGTGTATTTTGTATGTTTGCGCTTAAGAGAACACCCCCACTTTTATCCTCTCAGCTCATGAAGTCAGTGCGACCACAAGCCTGTTAATTGACCATTCCAGAAAATACCATAACATACTATAATGCTCTTTCTTTGTCACCCCAAAATTTTGCATAAGCATTGTTTTCAGTTTCTCTTGAGGCCATTTTAACTCCCAAGAGAAATTGAAGACAATGCTTATGCAAAATTTTGGGGTGACAAACAAAGAGGATTATAGTCTGTTATGGTATTTTCTGGAGTGGTCAATTCCCAAACCAAACCGGTCCGGCCCCAGTCCCCTCTTCTGGAAAGAATATTACTGATGTACTCGAAACGTGTGTAAATAACGAAACAAACGAGTGTTTCACTAGACACAGAGAATGTATTTCAGTTTTTAAATACAAAGTTCATGCCATCATGATCAAAACAACGTCGTTTGTATTTTGTAATTAAGTAAGCCAATCAGTAAAATGTTGATCCTGGAGATGTTGCCTGAAACTATTAAATGGAATTTTTAATATACAAAATCTGAGCAATTACAGTATAGATAAGTCATAAGTCTTACACTTACAATATCATAAAAATAGAAAAACTTCAGACTGTTAACACAGTTCCCTAACTCTGTTATATTCTTGTGTTTTTAGAACAAAACATTCGTGTTGTTTGAATCGATGATAGAACGATTCAAAACCGAAATTCAAGGCATTACTATCCATTTATTGCAACAAAAAATAGAAAGCTGATTTGTATCTTCATGTTGGATTAGGTCCTTCCAGTACATAGTAAAACGGGTCTGACTGGTTAGACTGGTTTTCTGTGTCATCATACTCGCTACAGTCAGACTCTACAACAATTTCCAAGCCACTTAAAGAATCCTCTTGTAAGCTTTCACGAATTGCATCACTTTCTGAAGACATATTACTAAGACCAATATCATTGCTATGTGGTGTTGTGTCTTTGTCTGGTGGCGATGACGACGGGTTTGATTGACATAAGACAGTCAATTCGTCCATTGTTGTTTCATCTTCAGGACACTCCTCGCGGTCTAATTCCCCAGTCCTCTTATTCACAGTTTGCTTTGAACGCATGCGCACTGATATTAAATCACATTGCTTGTTTGAATCAACCGACGCAGGATTTGTACCATTGGTGACAGGAAGAGAGTATATCCCAGTTGTTTTGACAAGAGAAAATTTCTTGCGTTCTAATACCTCGGATTTGCTCCGCGGCTTCTTTTTTGATCGCTTTGGAGTAAAGCTAGCGCCAGCAGAGCGTCTCTTTGAATTGGCAATTGTTGTTCCACAAGAGTTACTGTCATTTGATGCCAACGACGAAGGGGTTTTCGTTTCCGCTTCCGGTGGACAATTCAGTTCCTCTGAATTCGCATTCACACTCGACGTATTTGTATTGGTAATGTTCAAATCCTGGT